AAATGTATTTGGTACAGAATCTCACTACACAGCTTGAATTCAGAGTGATCCTCCTCCTGTTTTCAGCCTCCCCAGTGCTGGGATTACAGGCATTCGCCACCATGCCTGGTCTTGGTGGCTAGCTGAGCATGTGGTGCTGGGGATTGAACCCCAGACTCTGTGCTTGCCTAAGCAGGTGCTTAGTTCGCTTAATCACACCAGCCCTCCATGTATTTTTCAATTACAACTCAGTGATGAAATACTTATGGAAATTCTGTCAAACAAAAGCATTATAGCGTGTTTTTGTCCACCTTATTTACCAGAGCTGAACCCAAAGCTAAAATACCCATGAAAAGTAAATATTTTGAATTGATTCAGGACATTACTTTCCTATAATATCCTGACTAAACACACTCATGTAATGCACTTCCAGAACTGCTTCAAAAAGTGGCCAGAAAGATGAAGGCTCTGTCCTTGAAGTGAAGAGGATATTTTTGACAGGGAACTAATAGTACTGTGTCTTTTATTGTATTAATTTTAAAAGATTTGACCATTCACCACACTTTTTTATTATACCTCAGAGATATTAGGGTGCAGTCATATGTCAACTCCAAATCTTTAAAATTACCTATATCTTTTGAAAGAGAACACTTGTTTTACATTTATGAATTCCAGTTAACTCTTTCAATTACAAGCTTTAAAAATAGAATATTTACGGTGCCTTAAATAATTGAGACTTGGCCATAAAATGAAATTGTTTAGTAATTACTTATCACTTGTACTAACCTAGTTTTTGATTATAGCAAAATCACTTGCATTAATGAACATCACCATTGAATGCCATAACCACTGTAATTGCCTTAGTTATTTTAATAAATCAAATTGGTAACAAATTATAAAAAGTGATACCATTTTTGTGACCTTCCTATAATCTGGAATTTAGCCTATGACTTGTAAAGTTTTTATAAAGCTGGCATTGTCATTTATTTTATTTTTATTTCAAACAGAAGAAAAATAATAAAAACATACAAAATTTCAAAGCAAGATTATAGAAGAAGAATAATATTCAGTATATTGTGTATTGTTATCTTCAAAGCAGTTGCTTGTAATACAAGATGTAGGTATGAAAAAACCAATCAAGCAATGTAGACATATAGCTATTCTTTCAAAGAGCTAATAGTTGGGAGCCTGCCCCGTAGCTCAGCTCTTTAAGTGGCTGCTTCAACCAAGCAGTCAGGCTCAGGTTGCTGTGGTTCGATCCCCACAACTCAAGCCAGCCAAACCTGCCCTGAAGGCATTCAGAGAAAAAAAAAATCAAAGAGCTAATAGCAATTAATAGTATATCTATCTTAAGTGTTTTGCATGTGTTTGTGTGTGTGCATATGTGTGTATTTTTTTCCTTTCCCCTTGGGAAATGGATGAGACTTGAGTCCATACTTGTAAGTGAAATAACCTTGCCTTACATGTGCAAATGTCATATTGTCTTCCTAGTGTAAGAAGCTGAAAGAATAAATAAGACTCAAAATGTACAATAGATATTGCGAAATGGGAAGGAAGTGTTCAAAAGGAAAGAGAAACTGCAATGTAAAGTTTTGAATCACATCCAGTAGATTACGTGACCAAAATTAAAACAAAACATTTCTTTAATGCAATTCAAGGATGTAATATTAGTGAGGGTATAGTACCTAACAATAGTTTTACATCAAGATCTTAGTATAAATGACTGGTGAGATAACTCAGCAGACTAAGTGCCTGTCTGGGCAAGCACAGGGACTGGGGTTCGATCCCCGGTACCACATGCTGCACTGGCCCCACCCCTGGGCATGCTAAGCTGGCCACCAAGCCAGTGTGTGTAATCCCAGCACTGGGGAGGCTAAAAGCAAGAGAATCACCATGAGTCTGAGCTGTGTAGTGACATCCTGTACCAAATACATACAAATTTAAATAAAAAGAGCTTAGCATAATTTGAATACTTTAGTTGTGATATGTTTAAATTCAGAAAATAATTAGAATTTTTCTCTTGAAATTATAATTATAATTAAAGGTTTTCACAGGGATGATGTCATATACCTGCTCTCATTTGTGTAAATGTGCAATTGTCTAACCCAAAGTATTTTTTTTTCTTTATCATTCGTTCAGGTAAATAGAGGAACTAATACAGTTTTACAAAATAATGTGGTTGCTGGATTTGGGAGAGCAGGATACCGCATTGATGGTGAACCTTGCTTGAGTAAGTATTTTTTTCTAAGCATAGAAAACTAAAACAATGAGGTAACAAATTTTCTGCTGTTTTCTGGTTTAATATGTAATATCTTTTCCTTCTGGACACCAACATAATTCAGTAAGGAAGACTATGTTTTAAAAAACATTGGATCTAAAGAAAATGAATACCTTTTAAAGAAAACCATTTTTCCCCCAGTTTATAATCCAAAAATTCAGTAGCAACCTCAGTTCTTGATTTGGTTATTGCTAGAATTTTGAGTGCCTCATCTACTACCATTTCTCACGAAAGTGGCCTCTGCATAGAGAGCCCTGAACCTGAAGGAGCAGGACATTATTTTACATTTCTGCTTTGAAAGGAAAATGTCCATTACTTATATATTAAAATTATATTCATAAAAATTCAAAGGACATGCATAGTTTTCAAACATATTTCTCTAACTGCTTAGGAAAATTTAGCAATTAATCAAACATCTATCTTTCTGGCGAGACTGTAGGGAAATGAAAATTTACACATTACTGATTGAAGGACAAAATGAAATAATCCCTATATAAGGGGTCTACTAAAATTATTTGTGAGTCTATCTTTGACATAGCATTTCCACTTCTGTTAATCCAGTCAATGGTTGTCATTATATGATTAAAAATGGTTTATAAGCAAAGTTATTCATCAAGGCATTGTCAGTACTCACAGACCACTAAAAGTCATCCTGGGACCCTTAACGGTACCTTCATTGTGCAAAGGCAAACACTAGAATGCTAGGATCCACTAATGAAGAAAACCGAGTACCTACATATAACACTGAGAGAGCTCCAAGGTATTCTTGCGTGATATGTGGAGGGTATGGAATAGTACATGAAATGTGGCTGTGTGTAAGATCCGTATGTTCTGTGTTATGTTTCATGGGGAAAAAGGAGTAGAAGATACAATTGCATATGTATTTGTATTTACATAAAAACACAAGGTGATTTAGGAACTTATTTTATAACCTCTTGAATTTTTTTGAATAATCTTTTTTTTCTATAATTTTATTGGGAAACAAATAGCAATGAGACAGTTTCAAATCAAATTAGTAGGACAGTTTCAATAAATAACACATTGCATATTGTTGTCTTAATGGTTATTCATTGTACAAGATGCAGACATGATATCCTGTTTACAAACACTTTTAGAACAAATCTTTCTATTCATTGAGTTAAGAGAATGCAGCTGTATATCCTATTTTGAACATACAGATACAAAATGATCATTCATTTGTATCCCTCTTTTTTGTTTAGTTTTGTCATTTAAATATTATAGGTGTGTAAATTCAGCTAGATATTCCAAAATAGTTCAGTAGTCCATAATAGTAGTGGGTTTTCCATATGACTGGTAATGTCAGAAGTTGTTGACTTCAGCCTTTTACAGCTCAGTATAATAGCATGGCTTTACTTTTTATACCTAGTTTTTGTACTTTTCTGCTGGATGGTTAAGACCAAGATAAAGCAAGACCTATATAACAAGAACTGTAGCTTTTGTATCTGATAAGGTCAGTCCAATCCCCTCAGGATTTATCCTGAAACCCTGTACTGCAGTTTGTAGATCCTTTGTCAGTGTCAGCCATGTGGATGAGTAACAGCCATTGAACCTCTTGAATTTTTAACCATGAAAACATTTCACTATCAGTTTTTTTAAAAAAGTAAAACACAATATAAAACTTCAGTTTTGCCGCTTGAGAAACTCGAAAGAACTTCAGCGAAATGGGACTTTTCTTAGAAAAATGTATGTTCTTTTTAAAATTGACTTAAATATTTTAGTGTAGTGTCATTTTTAACAGTTTAATTAGTTATAATTTACATGCCATAATATTCACCTCTTTGCACTAGTATGTTGGCTAATGAATAGTCATTCTTAAAATTATTTCAATATTTTTCTCTCAATTCAAAATGAATTGCATTTAAGCTAATTTTATACTTAGACAAAACATATTTGAAGAAGGACACAACTTTGTCAACAGATTTAGCAGATTCCTCGAAACATGCTCTCAATATTTTAATTCCCAAATGCTAGATGTGATTTTTTTTGATACAAAAGTTTAAAATAAAAATTAACCTTTGAATATAAACACTTATCAATAGTTGTAACATCATATGCGATATTTTTACCAACTATATTGATATTAATGCATAACTGAGAATGTTTAAAAAGAAGTTTTGAATTTATGACAATTGAAACATGACATAGCATAGAGAAACGGAAGCCTAACTTCAAGTAATGCTTGTCAGTTTATCCGGACAAGAGGCAGGGTTGCTGGGAAGTGGACAGTGACACATTCATCATGGCCTTGTGTAGATTCAGGGACAGAGATATAGTCATCTTCTTGTGTCAGAATAAAATAAAAGACACGCAGTTCATGAGCAACCTACAAACTGGAAAGCAGGGAAGACAGGAAGAAATCAGACACAAGGCTCCAGGAAGACAGCTGGACCTAAGTACAAACACAGGAAGAGGCGCTGCTCTTTACAAACAACTCTCCAACTTGTGCATGCCCCAGAGGGGTTATTAAAGTTATTGATCCAATTTGGATATAAGTAAGACTTTCAATAAAATCTACCTTAATTATAATATATATAGTAACCAGTCCAGTTCTCATTTACTAAAGATATTTGCAAGGAAACTTATATGATTTATTCATTGCATTTTGAAACAGTCATAAATTAGGTATTAACATGCTTGATACATAGGAAACTAAGTTCTAAAAGGTTAAACATTCCCACAAATTGTGTATACAGTAATTTTAATAATATTGTAGAAGTACCTAGCTCTATAAATTACATTTTTGGATGCAAGATCATGTTGATGAATGAGCCAGAAACCATTATCTTCACTCGTGAAATTTACATTCTAATAGAAAAGAGGAAAGAATAACTCAAAAATAATACAATAACAAGTAAAACCTTTTAATTTCAATGTAAAGTGATTGAAGTGCAAATTTTAATGAGGTAGACTGGGAAAGGTTCTGAAAGGACTAAGTCATGAAAATAGTGCAACAAGAAAGAGCCAGCACATTTATATGCACAAGATGGGTAAGGGAATGATCCTGAGAATCTTCAGCATGTTTTTGAAACTAGTAGTTAATTGGTAGGATTCTCACCCTGACTAACTATGTATGCTGATACCTGTGAACTAAGCAACTGCACTGAAGATAGCAATGTGTAATACTAGGGTCATGCTTGGAGAGCCTGTCATTCTGGTCTTCTAAATACGTACTGTTTGTCATGACATACCAAGTATGGCCACACTGTCTCTCAGGTAAATGTTTGTTTTAAAAAAAGGGTAATAAATGAAAACAAGAGACAAGAACAAAAAAAAAAGGTCACAGGACTGTCCTGTTACAATGTTGTATATGGTTAGATTTCTAAATTTCTATGTAAAATATGTAACTGTTTATTCCTATTTTTTAAATATTAA